TATATATATATATATATATATATATATATATATATATATATATATATATATATTTGAATAATATAATATGTAATGGCAATGTGAATGTAATTATAGAAAAATACCTTGATGATAGTGGTACCACAGAAATATCCTCAGAATAAGGAGATCTTTGTAACTCATGTACAAATTGGGTCAACTGTGAATGTGTTCTGGAACAAAAGAAGATCTTTGTATTCTTAAATATTGGCTTCTCCTTATTCTCATCCTCAGAACTTTCCGAGTTTGACAATAGATCGTCAAGTATAAGATCCTTTTCGGTATCACAAACACCAAAACCTACTTCTTCCATTTTATCTTGATCTATGGATTTCTTCAGCAAACTTCTATATTGCTGTTTTATTTTTTGAGTTGCTTTAGTCTTTGCAGCTTTATTTGATTCCATTATTTTCTTTAATTTGTCTCTCTCACCCTCAAACTCAAGGATCGCATTTAATTTAGCTTGGAATATCTGTTTTTCAGCATTTAGCTGTATCTGTTCTGTTTGTACTGAAAACCAATCATCAGATAGCTTTTCACAATTCTTTATTTTATTATCAATCTCTGCAATTGCAGAAGTTAATTCCTGTTTTTTGTGTTTTTGATTATCTACCAGCCATTTCAGTGCACCACAAATGACAGATAAAGACTTTCCAGTACCAGTAGGGCTTTCAAAGAGACCTAATTTGCCACCTTCTAAACAGTTATAGAGTTCTCTCATAAATTGCTTTTGAATTTCATATGCTGGGAAAGGAAATGGAAATTCTTGCGGAGGTTCCATCTTCATATTAAATCTTAAAACTGCGTCAAAAGTCCATTTTACTTCTGTTCAAGTAAAAAAAATAATTAAATGAGAAGTTATTTTTACAGTTCTTATAAAATTGGACTTTTTCAAATTTAAATTATGCTTTTAACTGATACATACCACTGTAAACTATCAACTCGTTATTTCTCGTTATTGCAACTTCCTTTCAAGTGGTCTGTTTTTTTTCAGCTGACTGCTGAGGATCGATTGTGTATCTCGAATCGGAGTGAAAATGACCAAAGTGAGCAAATTCACTAAGCATTGACCAATAAAGTTAGAAATATTCTAGTAAATTTGCTCACTTTTGTCATTTTCATTCCGTTTTAAGATACAAATCGACCCCCTAAACTGGTGCAATAAGTTAGAGTGAGAAAACATATACTTGTCTCACTTTAACTTATTGCACCAGTTCAGCAGTACAGCTAAAAAGAACCTATAGACATAATAGGTGCGTTCGTCTTGAATATTTTTTCGCTAATAGCGTTCACAAGCGTCGCTCGTCTTGGCACTTTAAAGTGCTACAGAGTAGAGATGCCCAATTCTGTTTAAAACAATCGATTTTGGATAATCGATTATATTTTTTAATAAAATCATTAAATCGATTATTCAAAAAAAAATATAATCGATTCCAAAGAATAGAAACGAAAATACGTACAGTCCCGGCGTAACCGCCGTCACGACAAGACGTGTTCGAACAAGGGTGTTTACGTTAAATCGAGTACGAGTTAGTTCCACTAAGATCAAAAAATGTAATAGGCACAACCATCTAGTATCTTCATGGTTCAAGACAACTTAGTACTGTTTTTCGATGCTCGAGTAGAGTTAGTTAGGGTTAGCTAAAGTAGCATAGCAGATAACGTGGCATCAGGTAGTTGATTTTCAAAAAATGTCAGTTATTAATAAATTTAATCTCATATATGTATGTTTATACCGCACGTTTAATACACGTATCAATTAGTAACTTTATATCTAGTTATTCTAATTTCGGCGATGCAATATATTCAATTAATACGATACGTGTTTCTAATCAATATTGCACTACTTCAATATGACGTTGTACATCGCCGAAATCAAAATAATTCAACATAAAATTACTAATTGATACGCGTATTAAACGTTCGGTATAAACATACTATATGAGATTAAACTTATTAATAACTAACATTTTTTTGAAAATCAACTACCTGATTCTCACATTATCCGCTATGCTACTCTAGCTGTAACGTTCGGACTTATTTTGAAACATTAATAATATATTAATATAGATCGAAGGCCAACTTGTCTGATTTCAGACATCACTAGATATTTTATACCTATGTTACTAGACGTAAATACGTGCGCATATATATATTCGCGAACGTTAAATATTATAATTAAAATTTTAACACTGCGTGTCGTTAGAGAGTCTTAAAATTGATGGATCAACTGTAGACAAGAGAAACTGTAATCGCTCAATGCGATAAGGCGTCCCGCTGCTAACATAAATAGGAGCATGAAAACTGAATCCAAACACCACTCAGGACGACGCGGCGATATCGACGCGATGACATCATACCGATGGGATGAATCTCTTCCATCTTCATAACTCCATCAGCCAATCAGGAAACGACTCTCAGCGACAAAGCGACATATAAAAACACGCGCATTTGTTGAGAAGGCGATTATTTTTTCTCATATCTCTCAATTCTCTTGTACTTATTTGGAATATATTAGTAAAATCCGACTGTGTTGCAATTACTTTTGCCTACCCTTCATTTTTCGAACGTTGCGAAATCGAAATTCGGAATCGCATCATCCCGCGCAGTGCCGGAACATCCGAGACCAAGCCAGGAGAACGAGCAGCGCTGATTTCTCGCCAGATTCATCGATCGTTTTGCCAGACTCCGGAGACCCAGGGTAAACTCGGTGAAAAGCAGAGTGACCCAAAAGCGGAGTCATCACTCTGTTGACCGTTTACGTAAGTCACTGATTTCACTACTTTCAAATTTCCCTATATAGTTATTTATCGTGGACGTAACAAGCTAACTCTAAAGCCCATTCTACAATTGCGTAAGCGTAGTCGTGAACGTAAGAGTCAACTAATCCGAATGTTTTATTCACTTTACTCTGATTGCTTTACTCTGATTGGTTGTCGTAATCACTTACAACTACTTACAACCGCGTTCAGGCAATTGTAGAATAGGCTTAACTAACTCTACTCGAGCGTCGGAAAGTAGTACTTAGTTATCTTGAACCATTGTAGTTACTGAGTTATCTTGAACCATGAAGATACTAGATGGTTGTGCCTATTACATTTTTCGACCCTAGTGGAACTAACTCGTACTCGATTTATCGTAAACACCCCAAATTCGAACCTTGTGATTTTTTTGGAACGTGCCTTAGAATTTTCCAAGACTTTACTCTCGAAATATATCATTAATCGCAAAAATAGCGTTGAGGCATAACTTTTAGAGAGGCCTGGAGCCAAATATTAAAGTTGAAATTGAAAATACGTACACACACACACACACATATAGCGACCTTCAGTTTCGATCTACAATAGATGTAGTAAGCTTTAAGCTTTAAGAAATTGACCAATTATAATCGAATTATAGAAGAATAAACTATCGTAATTAGAGAACCTATAATTAGAGAGTCATCAACTCGTCACGTGACGGCTGCGTGCTGATTGACTCAGCGCGTCGAGCTCCATGATCCTGAGAGAAAGATTAGAGTGACAGTGACAGGAAGGACGCAGTATTAAATAGGTAAGGATTTTAAAATAGTGTTATATTTCTTTCATATAATAAGTGTTTACATGTGTTATATCCTTAATCCTTGCTTCTTTTCTGTCACTGTCACTCTAACTAGAGTAATGGCGTTAGGGCATGAGTCACGGATGCGCCTCTAGCCAAATATTGAAGGAAGGAAGGAAGGAACTGTCACTCTAACCTTTCCTCAGGATCATGGAGCTCCACACGCCCTGAGCCAATCAGCGCGCAGTCTGTGACGAGTTACGTGACGAGTTGACAACTCTCTAGAGGTTTGTCTAGGTATAGCTTCCGGAATGGAGCCGTGTCTTGAATCAGCGATGTGCCGACGTTTCGCAAACGTTGCAGTTTGCATCATCAGGGCTGAGAACTCTGATACTGAGCTCCCTTGGGTAAAGGTTGTCCTTATATGCCCCCCTCCCGCCTTTTGTGTAGATGGTGTTAGGAAGTAGGGGACGAGGCTTGAATCCAGCCAATCAGCGTATTTTAATTGATCAGCTGGTCAATTAAAAAACCAGGAGGGCAGTATGCCAAATAGAGTTTACTTGCATACCTTTGTCTCGGTTGAGGTTGTTGGGATGTTTCAAAATTTCTAGACCTTCACGATGTTTTCTGGCAAAATAACTCTGTGAGGGAGCCAATCTGGTGGCTTTTTCATATTGTACGGAGTGTCCAGTCTCCATCCAGTGTTCAGCTAGGGCTGATTGAGTAAAGTGACCATACTTGGTACATCGCTGGTGTTCCTTGATTCGCGTACTGATCTTCCTCCCGGTTTCTCCTATATAAACTTTACCACAAGAGCAAGGGATCTTATATACACCTGATGTTTCTAGGCATGATTTCTGATCCTTCGAATTTGGGAATAAATGGGAGAGCTTCCTATGTGGTTTAAAGATTACTTTGATTTTGTGTTTACTCAGAATCCTGCTGATAGGTTATGCTGTTATGCCCTGGAGATATAGAAGGACAGCCGTCTTTCTCTTTTTTCTCTCTTCATCTAGTGTGTCAGTGTTTTTAGGACTGACAATTCTGTTCTTCTGGTTTTTTATTATTTGCGAGATGTTTTTGCTGTTGTATCCATTTTTAGTTAAGGCTGTACTGAGGTGTTCTAGTTCTCCATTCAGAGAAGATGGTTCCGAAATTGTGAGCGCTCTGTAAACCAATGAACTTGTGACAGAATTCTTTTGCGAGAGATGATGATGACAGGTTGCATGTAGATATCGGTCTGTATGTGTTGGTTTTCGGTAGACCTAAAGTGCCATCTTTTGGACTAGCACATCCAGAAAGGGTATTTGATTATTTTGTTCCACTTCCATTGTGAACTGAATACTGGGATGTTGTGAATTGAGAAACCCGAGAAACTGAGAAAGAGTTTCCCTGCCATGATTCCAAATTACGAAAGTATCGTCCACATACCGAAACCATGTGGATGGTTTCAGTGGTGCGTTCCTCAAAACTTTATTCTCAAAGTGTTCCATAAAGATGTTTGCAATGATAGGAGATATAGGAGATTCCATCGCCGCTCCAGAGGTTTGTTCGAAAAACTCTCCTTGGAACTGAAAATAAGTTGAAGTTAAGCAGTGTTCTATTAGTGGGAAGAGGTTGGCAAGAATTTCCTCGGAATTCTTGATGATGTTCAAAATATCCTGGACTGAAACATTAATAAACAGTGAGACTACATCGAAATTCACCAGGATATCATTAGTATTCATCTTGATTTTTGTGATCTTATTCACGAAATCCGTTGAATTCTTGATATGGGAATCATTGAGACCAGTAAGTTTCTGGAGGGGTTTGGTGAGATAGCGGGCTAACTGGTAGGTAGGTCCCCCAATGCTATTGCTGACAATAGGGCGTAAGGACATTGATTCCTTGTGGATTTTTGGAAGACCGTAGAATCTAAGTGCTGAAGAATCTTGAGGGGTTAAATACTTGATAGTTTGAAGAGGGAGACCTGCATTTTTCAGAAGAGAAGATGTTTTCTTCTCTATGCTGGATGTTGGGTTGCGTTTGAGTTTCCTGTAGACTTTTTGGTCTGAGAGTAAACTGTTGATTTTACTGCAATAGTCTTCCCTGTTCATAACTACAGTAGCGTTCCCTTTGTCTGCTGGTAAAATTAGGATCTTGTTGTTTTGTTTCAGACCGTGGAGAGCTCGGCGATCTTCTTTGTTTATATTTTGTTTGGGAAGTTTGGCTTTGCGTAGGATGTTGGTTGTTCGATTTCTGATGTCATTGCTTGCCTCTAAAGGAAGGTGGAAAATAGCCGTTTCAATTTGGCTGATGATTTCTTCCGTAGGGATACTAGAGGGAGTGACAGCAAAATTGTGTCCCTTAGCTAGAACAGTGACTTCGGATGGTGATAGGTCTTGATCGCTAAGATTCTTCATTGTATGTGTGAGAACTGGCATTTGAGTCTGTGGATTGATCTTATCATACTTGCTCTTCTGTTTTTGTGTTCTTGCCTCAGCTGAGTGAACAGCTTGTTCGTGATTAACCCGATCCAGTGTCAGCCATAGCTCAGACTCCAACGATTTTGCAAGAGAGAGATGTAATTTTAATAGTTTTTGGGATATCTCAGCCAAGTTCTTCTTAGTGGCTGAGATTCTGTCTTTGACTAACCTCAACGCCGCTTGTCGTAGAATGTCTTTGGCCTGGTTAGAAGATGGAAATGGGTTTTCTAATTGAAAGCATTTCGGTACTATGTGATGGTCGCGGCACCGTTTCAGAAATGTTAGAGAGCACAGTTGGACATGCAAGAACTTCCTGAGT